ATTTAATGACGTAAATTTGTTTATTCACTCTCATCAAATTTAATTATATTACCATTTCCATCTATTATTGTATATTGTTGAAGTGATATGGATAAATATAGTTGGAAAAGTCAGAAATGAGTCATTTAACATTTCTTTCTATTTATTTCCTTTTCCGAAACAGCTAATTCTTCACTTATAAATAGCTTACGGTAGAATGAATTGGACAAATTTTTATTGACAGATTTTATGGCAGCAATTAAAGTTTTAAAAAAAGGGAAAAGAATGACGTAAATGTTCGTTTAATATCATTTTCTTTTTATTTATTTTTTCCTTTCTCTTTTATTTTATTTTTCTTTCTCTAATTTTTTTTCCTCTATCAACGGAATATTTTATTCAAAGAAAGAGAGAGAGAGAGAGAGAGAGAGAGGAAGAGAGAGAGAGTGAAAAATTAGTAATTTTAAACAAATAAAATACCTTCTCTTTCCTTTTCTTACATTTTTCATCATTTCATACATTCCACATTAACTACATTCCACAACAGTACAATCAATTTTGATGGATAAATTTCAATAAATACTTAAGAATTATTTTCAAAATTTAAAATTTAAAATTAAAAAAAATTTTCTTTATTATATTTCAATGATAGTAATTTAAACAGCAACTATTATTGGAATATTTAAAACAAATGTTTAACACTGAAATTTGTTGTTAACTAACAAAACTGTATGCTAAATTAAAGTATTATTTACTTCTGTAATTAAAGATGAAAGAAAACTGGGAAGAGAATTTATTTAATTTGTTCAAAAAATTAAAATTTTTTTGACTGATCAATTGCATAATTGATTAATTGATTTGATTGATTGATCGATTGATGATATCAGGGCTGAAATTTCTTTGTTCCCTATTTTTTTAAAACTGTTTTCCTATCCTTGAAATCGTCTCTTCATTGCTTGCCTCTTCAATTAATCGATTCAAATTTAAAAAATAATTTTTAATCTATTAAATCGTTGAATTACATACTTGTCATATCTTTTAAATAATTCTCTGAATGCTGAATGCAAATTTATTCCACCATTCTATTTCATTTTTCTTCTTTAATTTTGCATACTTTATCAGAATTATATTTCAGTTCGCTGGTAATTAGATGATTAACAGATCATTCAAATACAATTATCACTTCAATACAATTCCATCCTCTAAAACGTTTCTCGAATTGAAATCCAGGAAAGAATAATACAATTTATATAAGTGCAATAGGTTGAAATCGATGGATATATTGCTAAGGAGTAAATGAATGATAGTGAATGATTTTATTCAGTTTAACAATTCACTAATCGTTAATTAGGATAATTAATGATTATCTCTAATCTCTCATTAATTATCATTAGTGCATCATTCACGATCATTCATTTACTTCTTGGCGATATATCCATCGGTTTCAGGCCTATTGCACTAATGTAAATTTTAAATAATCTTGTTAGCAAATTTCTCTATACAAATTCCTTTAAGTTCCTCTTTAGATGCTTATGAATCCTTCCATACATATCAATAATATGTATGGAAGGATTCTAGGCATCTAAAGAGATTCTGCTTAACCATTTATAAGGATTCTGTTTAACCATTTATAAATTTTTATTCAGAAATGAAAAATGGACCTTTTCGAGGAAGTCAATCTATAGATGATGAATCACTAAATTTCTCTTCTACAAGCTTCCTCATTCCTTTACCTATAGATTTAAAAAATATTTAAATAGTACCATAAAACTAAATAAGAAATTCCTTTCATTTCCTAACTATCATTGCAAATTTTGTTAAATAAACTATTCCAATATTCTATTATCTATTTTAAATTTCTCTTATTTTTTGGCATAATTCTTTTCATCTGTCACTTTCATTTTAAAAAAAGAATTCTTTTACTGTCTGTTTCTATTTAAAGTTCACACTATTCATTTACATATTTCATTGCAAAATTTTCATCAATTACAGTACAGTTCATCCATTCTTTGTTATTTTTCTCTTTTTCTTTTTCCGGAAATGTCCTTTTTCTTTTTTTGAAAAACAATTTGATTGCACAATTAAAACAATTGATAGAAAGTACTTCCGAAAATTTTCAATTTCCTTTTTTTCCTCTCTTTCTCTCTTTCTCTTTCTCTTCCTTGTCTTTTTAGTTTAAAATCAGCTCGAATTAGAATTAGTTTTCAGTTTTAAATTAGCTTTGAAATTAATTTTCATTTAAAATTTTAAATTAGTTCGAAATCATTGCACAAAGAAATATTCATAATTAAATCTTCTCCTTAATCTACTGATTTTATTTGAAAAATTCGAAAGGAAATGAAAAAAGTCGAAGAAAATGATAAGAATTTCAAAAAAAAATCAAAAAAATTTTTTTCATAAAAGTTCCTTTTCACAAATAATTCCAAATATTTCATAAATGATAAAACGATAAATGATAAATGATAAAATGATAAAAAAGAATATAGTAAAAAACAAGAAACTAAAATAGACCAAATGTTATCTTTTTCTTTTCTCACAATGCTTTATCAAATTTTTCTTAATTTTCGAACAAAATGAACTTTGTCACTCAATTTGCTGCAGCCATTCTTTCCACAGTTCTATTCCATTTCATTGTATGCCTGCACGAAATTTTACTTATAAATTTCTTTCGTAATTTTGGTTCGTAACTATCTCAAATGTAAACTAAGTTTGATATTTGATATTCATTGTGATACTTCAAAAAATTTTCCTTTCTTTATCATAGCTCAACTGCCAATGACCAAATTTGCACGGATGAATAAAATGAAATTGTTCCACAGTTCCTACATTGTCGTGATCATATGCGCAAAGTTGATGTTACCTGCCTATAATAGTTCATGCAACAAATCCGCATTAAATCATGCATTTGTAACATTTATTATATTTAATATATGGATAATGTAGTGGGGGAAATCATCATAAAAGTGTTTTGTTACTTTCTAATTATTCATACTTTCATTTTACCTGTATTTTGTCGTTAATCTAAGTTGTAATGTTTGAAATATGTAGACAGAGAAATGGAAGCGTAAAGAATGAAAGTTTCGTAGAAGCAGTAGGGGAATACAGTGCAAAAAATTAATTTACAAATACCGGATATCATTTCAAATTCCGGATAACAGATGAACAAAATAAAAGATGAGAGATATTTGATTCATTTCAATGACAGCATTTCAACTAATCATTCATATCGTCATGTAAATATGTTTATCTGTCAGATTATTTCGTTATGCACTTTCTTCAGTAAAAAAATGAAAATTATTATCAAAATTATTTTTTCTTCATTTCATTTTAATAATTGCGAACTTTAAAGACTGGCTGTATTTCATTTTATTATCAAAATTACTTGTTAATATCACTATGTTATCAGATTTTCCTGTCTAATCTATCAATATCCATTAGTTAACGATCTTTTTTTAATTTTAAATCTCAAAGACAATTAAATAAGCAATCTTATCAATGCACAAAATGTACACATACACACATATATGTGCAAACATTTTCGTTTCATGAAAAAAATTTTAATTTAATTTAAATCAAACATTTCAAATTATTTTATAATATACTCTAACTTTTTAAACAGAATGTATATTCATCGATTTCCCATTTCAATGTTTTTTATTTACAAACTTAGTTTGCAATTGTTTGATCTTTTTCTGCATTTTTTTCAGATTTCTTACAGTTGACTACAGTAATTATTTGTTTCAGATACCTTACAGTTTGCTACAGTAATTGCTTGTTTCAAATTTCCTTCAGTTTAAAACGTTAATTGTTTCCTACATCTTATCTATTTATATGCTTAAAAAGATAATTTATTTTTTTCGATTTACAAGTGTTAAATATACTATTATTTCGTTTTTTGACTAGTTTTCATTACTGTAATGATCATTACTCATCCAATGTAATATATGTTTGATTTTAATTATTCGAAACGGTATTTATTTATTTTTAACCTTTTTAATAATTTTTAAACTATTTTGAATTTGCCATTCATTCAGTTATAGGTAATTCATAATTCTAGACTAATCATTTATTCAATTCAATTTATCATTCTATCTTTATTGATAGATAAAATAACGATTAACAGAGTTATCAGAAATAATCTATTTATCAGAAAAAAGAAATCATTTCTCTTTGTAACCACCTCAGTATTAGTTATAATTGAAAAGCTAAAAGATTTAGCATGATTGGATACGGTAGATAAATAAATTACCTATTATTAATATCTATCGAGCGGCATTGGTGTTTTTGTGATAACGCATATTAGTAGCATTTGTATGTTTTTTTTTAATTTCTTTTCTAAATAATCATTCAAAATAATATGACGTACAATATTATAAATATAACTTATAAATTGAGAGGTCAACAATCATCGTAATCAATAATAATCAATTACGAGTAAATAGTTTTATAAATCGCAAATGGCTGAATGTTCATTAAATTTCATTTAAATTTATTTATGATGATTTATGCGATTTATCTTTTTATCAGAAATTATCAATTAGTTTTGTTTAATGAATCAATTTCACAGATGGATAAATTAAAATGCTTTTAATCATTTTATGTTCGATTTGAAAATTTTTCTTAAATATTCGTCAAAAAAAAGCAAATAAACAAATTAATTATTATTTCTCAAAAATTTGACTTTTCCTTCCTTTCATTTCTTAACTTTTAATTCATACATAATCTTTCATGCTTCTTCAATTCTTTTTTAAATTTGTTTATCATTTTATCAATATCATTCTTGACATATTTATTTTGTATGAGATTACGGGAAATAACTATTATCATTATATTTTAATCACTTCATGTTCTGTTTATCACTGATCACATTGTAAAATTCTTCCTTTCTTATTTTCTGATATCTTAACATTTTCGAAAAAAAGAAGAAAATCAATATTTCACATCCTTAAATGTTATGCGAAGATTGTTTACTGTTTACTTATTAAATTTTTCTTATTTATTTATTCTTTTTCTTTCAGCAGAAAATGTTCGAAACGATCGTGAAACTTGTAGCTGATTCACTGCTAAATTGTACAGATGGTCCAGTTGGAATAGTAACCGCTCGAGTTTACTTATCCAGTATCTTTTTCCTTTTTTATTGTTTTAAATTTCAACTATTCTATTTAAATATTTTTTTTGCTTCTTCAAATAAGTCTGAAAATATTATATTGCCTTTTTTCTTTCTCTTAAAATTTTTAAATTCATTACTTCCAAAGTATCACATTTTTTTGTGTTTTATTTATATGCAAATGTCCAACTTTCTTTAACTTTGATAGATGCTTATCTTTTATCAAACATTATAAGCATATCATTAAAATTTGTTAGATCTTATAAATGTTCAATCATTACTCGAAATGATCTGAAATATTTGTATGATTTTATAGAAATTGAATTGACCTTTATTGTGGCCCTGATAGGGTCAACTCTTATCTCATTGGCTACTGTATGCCTCGGTGTTTTACATATCGTTTATATATCATTTTATGTTACACAGCAATATCGACGAGCATTTATTGTCTATCTAGCTGGTACTGCACCGGTGAGTATATTTTACAATTCTATAATTTTACTAATTGCACACTGAATAGTTCATCCATTTCCATTATCCGGAAGTTATTAATCCAAAGTGACATATGTTAAATTTAGGGCAAAAATTGACAAAAATTTGGTATATTGCCAAATAATATTGTCCAGTATCAACTGGACAATATCATTTAGTGATATCATATATCTACGATGATATCGTAACTATCAATTGGACAGTATCAAAAATAATTAAAATAAATACTTGTCAGATTGATTCGAATTGGTAGCCATTTTTTGGTTTAATTTATAATTAAGTAACTTTTGAGTAGCAGAAATAGCAAAATATTTATTATACAATCATATAAGAAAGAAGAATATTAAAAGAGTAATGAATAATTAAAATATTTTAAATCTATCCAAAATTCAATTCAATCCATTCTTTAGGAATAATTTGGAATAATTTGTAATTAAGGAACTTTGGGAAAATAGTACTTGAAAAGCTCTTTGTTATGTATTTACAATGAAAGATATATTAACTTAGTTATTTCGAAACTCCAATGTAATATCGAATTTTAGTTTGTGTCAGTGCTTTCATTGGTCTCTATGTATATGCCACGGGTATGGTTCCTCTCCCATCTTCTTGGTTTCTTGTAAGTTTTTCATTTCAAATTTCAAGCATTTATACTATTAAGGATTTTTAAAAAAATACAACCTTTTATTTTTATAATATCAAATTTTACTGAACTTCAAGAAGTGATCATTTAATCCACGTATTACTTTAGCTGTTATATTTTCAAATGAAACTATTCTAATTACTGTTTTAATTCTAAAATAGCATTTCAACTTCTTCAATATACTAACGTCTTTGCCATGTATATCTATTGACGTAACGAAAACCATTGTTTTTTTAATTATTCAAATTCTAATACAATATATTATAACCTCTGTAACTTCAACTTATATCATTTGTTTATCAGATGATATTTAATAATATTATCGATATTATTAATTTACATATCTGTAACTTCAATTTCATATCATTCCTTTATCAAATGATATTTGATAGCATTATTGATATTCTTAATTTACATATTAGTTCTCTTTTTTTCTTTTTCCTAAAAAACAAATGCCAGAAACTTCCAAAGAAAAAAGGGACTGAAAACTTTAGAATAATTATTATAATAATAATAATAATAATTACTATTATTATAATTATTATTTAGGTTAGTTCTTTGCTGTATGAAATCATTGTTCATTCAATAATTCTCGTTTTTTTTTTAATTATTTCAAAATTTTGTTAGAAATTAAAGGCTTTTTTGTACAAACTTTTATAAGATTTTAGAAAATCTTCGCTATCATCTTAATGATATATCATTTTCTTAATTATCATTAAATACTTAAAAACTTTTGTGCAATTTTCGAACTTTCATAATTTCCTCTTTTATCATTTATAGGTATTTTTCGATAGCGTTATGGGTAATTATTTGTCTTTTGATGAATATTTTCGAAGGACGTCAAAAAATGGTAAGAAAAATCAAAAATGGTTGTTCGAGGATGAGCGTACAAACACCGCCACTCTGTTGTGTCTTTCCATGCCTTCCGGAGCTTGAACTTGATCAGTAAGATATTTTTTGATTAATATTAATTTCACTCACTTATGAGAATAAATGATGTAGTTCTTGTTTGGATATATTTATCTAATTTTTCATTTCCTTTATTTATGAAAAACTAAATCACCGATCAGTAGGGAACGATCAGAAAGTAATTGAACGATAATTTATGGTATCTAAATTTTTGTATCGAAATATCAATTGTTGCGTAAAATGATTGAAACACGTTAATAAAATCTGATAAGAGAAAATCAAATTATGAAGCATACGTAGAATGAGTGAATGAAGTAATGAATTGCATAAAAATTTTCCAACTAAATAAACTCTTAATTAGCTTTGCCATAGAATTGAATTTTCAATTAATTTTTCATAGTTATAACTTTTTAAAATAAATATTCCATAGCTATAACTATTTTTGAACTGTACAATACATAAACTGTGAGAATTTTTGACTTTTTCGCTAATTTTCAATCTTCAGAATTTCAAAAAATTTCAAAATTAGTGATTTGTTCACGAAATATTAATCATAAATAATTTGAATTAAATAATAAATTTATCCGTTGCAGAGGTCGGATACGATTCTGTGAAATGATGGTCTTTCAAGCGCCGTGTGTTAGGCTTATATTTACAATTTTAAGCTTAATACTTTATTTTGAATATCATGATGGTGCTATTATGTAAGCAATCCATCAATTTCAAAAATTTACTTCAATTATATTTTAATGATATTAAAAATGGCAATTTCTTTTTCTCCAAATCTTTATATTTGTTAACTCTGGAATTAGCAAACTTATTAAAATTAAAAATATTAAATGGACCAAAATTTTCATATTTTAATTTTATCAACTTTTTAATTAAAATAACTAAAATTTTCTTAATTTTAGTCTAAATTTATTTTCTTATATTACAGTAAATTCCATATTTTAGAAGAATACGAAAATTTGAAATTCGAAATGATTAAAAAAATGAAAATTTTAATGGAACAACGAAAAACAACCATTTTTTTCATATTTATTTATTTATTTAACCATTAATCCATGCAGTGCTGGACATTAATTAGACAGATGCGTTCTTTCAGAGTGTTGAAAATATTCGATTTAGTATCGCTTCCATCGTTACTAATCGGTATATATGGTACACATATACTCGTAACAACCGTTTCAAATTTAGTAAGTTAACGAAATTAATTTTAATTAGATGGACAATTCACAAGAAATTTTTTGAGAACAAAAATTGATAAAACAATTGATTAAACTTTGAATGATAAAGCATAATCATTAGTGATAGTAGGATAGTGATAATCATTCACTTATCACATTCTTTTTCTTTATTAATCAACCAATTAAAATTGTCAATGAAAGAGAAAAAAATTTAATACTTCGGATATATTGCATTGCATATAAATTATCAATTACTCATATCGAACAATTTTTTAGGATGAATTAATCCCATATCGTTATATTGTTGTTTTTCGCTTGCTCGATTTCTATTTCATGTTTTATGGCATACAGCAGCCTATCTTCGATTTTCTGGCTCGAGTTGGCATATTTGGCTGTGGCACTGTGTTACCTTCTCTTGAAACAGCCTTTTGTTAGTGTTAATGATATTTTTTCACTCGAATTTATGTGCGGGAAAATATAAATTCGTTATAAAAGACAGCTTAATCGGCTTATTAATCATGTTATTGATTTAATTATAAACGGAATGATTTGATGATTGATATTGTAAGACTGATTTGCACACCTTTTCATGATAGCAAGATTGATACTATCATGAAATTTAATTTATTATTCAAGACATTCATGGAATTTTATGTGAGTAAATAGTTCGGAAGTTCTCTTTTCTAATTATTCCTTTTTGTTTTGTTCCGAAATTCTTATCATATCATTATCACAATCATTTATTATGTTAGGCTTTAGCCGAGCACAATTTTAAAATTTTAGAAAAAGGTAAATTATTTTTAAAGGCTATACTACAAAGAACAAATTTTTAAGGGATAATTTCAAATCTAGTAGAATGAAATTTGAATAATGCTTATTATTAAAAATCCGATTTGTGATTTCCGGTAAAATATATTTTTGATTTCCGGTTATTGTTTACCAAAAGTTGAATATTTAGCATTTACTGCTACGTGAATTTTAAACTATTTTAATGGTTTTGCAGTTTGGAAGAATTTCGCGCTTGTCATTGAATCATTTTTCGTCTCGCTAATTTCTTCCTTATTATTCAAACCATCACGAAGCGCATTTTTCGATAAATATCCATCAAGCCGAAGTGTCGCATCATCGGTAGTCACTTGTGAATATAACATGTAGCACATCGATCGGCGCCAATCAATCAATGACAGCATTTCCTTCCCTAACGAAAAAATTTATGATATCGTGATGTATTTTGCTTTAATTTCAATTTTATTATTATTTTCCTGTATTTTTTGGGATATTTATTTCCGGCATATCAGTCAATCTTTTTCCGGTTAAAAAATTAATTTTGAGTACTGATTTTTGATGGTATTTTGAATGAAAAATTTGTGATAATTTCTGATTTTCAGCTTTTTTGAACAAACAAAAATGTTTAAATTATAAAATTATTCTTTTTTCTTTTTAATCAAAAGAACTGAAATTAAATCTTTCCAAAAAAATTTAAGTATAATTTTTCTTTTGAAAATTTCGCTACAATTACAATGTAATGTTTCTGTGGTCAAATTTTCTCTACAATTACAGCGTAATGTTCCTGTGGTCATGTGGTCATGTGGTCATTGTTTGTTCTTTTTTTGTATAATTAGTGTAATGTAAATAGCATATGAAATAAAATTTCCTTATTAATTCTATTTCAGTTTATCATGGAAGTTAGAAAAATATTTGGCTAACATATGTTTTTATGAGTTAAGGCTGAATATATTCCTATTGTTGCCAAGGAAACTTTTTTGCATTAAACAAAATGAAATTAAATGCAATCATTCGAATTGTAATTGAATGAAATTTAATTTAGATAAGACTGATTATTAACTTTCTCAATTTACATGCAATCGAAAATGAAGAAACTCAGGCACTTTCTGGAATTTATATCAAAATTTACACCAATTTTCAAAAGTTTTCAAAAAAATTTTTTTTTCAAAAATTCTTAAAAGATTTTCAAAAGAAAAATTACACTTAAATTTTTTTGGAAAGATATTTAATTTCAGTTCTTTTGATTAAAAAGAAAAAAGAATAATTTTATAATTTAAATATTTTTGTTTGCTCAAAAATTTTTTATTATCCTTTTCGATCTTGCACGCATCTTTCATAAATTTTTGCATCCGATCGAGCATATCCGAGCATATCCGACCGAGCTATAAAGTGAAATTTGCATAAACATCAATTCAGATCAAACAGGTCATTTTGAGGGAATAGAATTTGAAAGAAGAAATGAATTTGTATGGGTTAAATTTAGGTTAGATCAGGAATTTTATCGATTCTTTCTCATTTATACAAATGTCTATGTGTTGTATTATTATTATTCATCGAACGTTACAAATTTATCTTCAGAAAAAGTTTGAATTAAAAATAAAAAATGGAAAAGAATCGGAAGCTTTTTATTTGTCATTTTAAAATTCTAAATTTTTTAAGTAAAAAAATGCTTTCTGCTACAAAGTTAATTTGTTTTGAAACTTAACTGTTAATATAATAATATAACTATTCTGGGCGGATATCAATCGTTTGAACCATTGGAAAGTAACGTGAAGATATTAAAAACGCAACACATTGCATGTAGAATAGGGATACAGTAAATTTAAACTGAAATATTTTACTAAATTCTATTCGATTCAACGATTGTTAAGACCTGAATATTTATTGGAGTTCTTGGTGATAGTAAGCACGATGAAAATTTTTCAGCTACTAGCAACACTGCCAATCACCATCGATCTCCTTCGGCGTTTAGTATCGAGCGATATTGGAAAAGCTTCCTGCCACACAGTTTGAAAAAAAGTTATTTTGATAAAATTTATTTCCTACAAGCTGAATTCTGGCAAAATTTAAATCATTTTATTTTGACTGAAACCTTTTTTGTTATTGAAATTTAAATAAGAGTATGTGTAATGACATTCTTAGTTTTAATTTCCCATTTAATGAAAAGCTCTTTTCAGGTGACAATCAGTGGTATATTTTTCAGAAACATATATAAATCAATAATATCTAT